GATAAGTTTGAATTAAATGTATTAGTATTAGTAATGACTAATTCTTATTAATAAATTAATTTTTATTAATATTTATTTATAATTAATAATAATAAATAACAATTAACAATAATGAAGGTTATAATTGAAAAAAGTGACAAAAACTACTCCAGCTAGTACAATAAGTTAGGTTATAAGCTTGGGCATGACATAGTCATGAACCCGAATTCGAGCCCTGGGAGGGGAGTGTTGGCGACATTTAAGTGTGGCCATGTTTAGCCTCCAAATTTGCCGGGGATTAGTCGGCCTTTGACCCGGACACCCCTACAAAAAAAAAAAAAAAGTTAGGCTATAAGCTATCTTATATTCATCCGAACGAGTAGTCAAAAAATAAGATAGCTTATGTTTGCCAAACAATTCCTATATATAACATTGTTAATTGAAATATGACAGAGTTTATGCAATTACAGTTTTGATGCAAATTTAGTGTTAACTTTATCTTCTTTTTCAACTTACAGATCCAACTTATGTAACAAATGGATATTTGGATACGGTTGTAGATTGTATACCAAATATGGATGGTATACGTTTAAGAGATATTCCACCGTTTATTAGAACCGTCAACCCTGGTGATGAATTCATGGTGGAATTTACAAATTCACAAGTGCAGAAAGCCAAAACCGCTTCTGGTATTATTTTCAACTCGTTCCATGAGCTAGAAAACGACATTTTGAGCACACTTGCTTCAACGTTTCCTCCTTGCTATGGAGTTGGTCCTTTGCATTTACTCGAAAATAAAATTGACGATAAATCTCTGGCATCAATCGGATCAAACCTTTGGAAAGAAGAAGCAGAATGTTTAACATGGCTGGACTCAAAACCGCCATCTTCAGTTATTTACGTGAATTTTGGTAGCATTGCGGTCATGACAAGCCAACAACTGGTTGAGTTTAGTTGGGGGCTTGCGAATAGTAATCATCCATTCTTGTGGATAATGCGACCAGGGATGGTGAGTGGCGAGTCAACTCAGCTTCCACCAGAGTTCTTGAAAGAAACTAGTGGTAGAGGGATGTTGGTTGGGTGGTGCCCTCAAGAACAAGTTCTAAATCATCAATCAATAAGAGGGTTTCTAACACACTGTGGATGGAATTCTACTATTGAAAGTATTTCCAGTGGAGTGCCGATGATTTGTTGGCCATTTTTCTCGGACCAATTGACAAATTGTTGGTTGAGTTGCCGTAAATGGGGGGTTGCCATGGAGATCGAGAATGATGTGAAAAGGGATGAAGTTGAGAAGTTAGTGATCGAGTTGATGAGTAACGACAAGGGGAAAGAGATGAGGAAGAACGCCGTTGATTGGAAGAACAAGGCTAATGAGGCATGCACTTTTCCCTCTGGTTCTTCGGTGGTTAATTTGGAGAAAATGATCCATCAACTGCAAGTCGGCAAATACTAAATTGTCAGAGTTACCGTCATATTTCAAAAAAAAAAAAGGTCAGCAAATACTTCTAGTTGATTCATGATCCATTTGAGAYGGTGTTGGGAGAATTGTAAACTGTGCGTATCTTAGTCAACGTACATGCATCATGAGATATGAAAGTTAGCAGTTTGTCAAACTCTTCAGTGTACGCCTGTATCTTACCATCTTGTAGATGAACTTCCATCTTCATGGTTATATTTATAAAACAAATTGTCTGATTGGTTTGCTCCGCAAACATACAAAGTGAACCGTTGTTCGGTTGACCCCCCTCCGATCATCTTTATCAATTGATAATTAACAATGACCCCCTTATATGTAAATTGATTCACATATAAGTTATAATTAGAATTAAATTTTGAATCTWTATTATGATTCACATGTGAATGGATTCATGTCTTCACATATGAATCCTAAACTAAATCATAATCTCATTAAATTAAAAGGAATTTGTGTTAAAATACACATCTAAATCCTCGTCGTTTATAAATAGGAAGGAAACTTCTCAGTGAAGGAGGCAGTAGGAATGAAGGAGGCGGAAATCTACTGCTTCTAGAAAGGTTGCTTATCCTTCACTTTTTAGAGCGTATTGTTGTTCAATAAAAAAAAGGTTACGGTTGCAGAAACCAAAGAAAATCAGGAACCATCGGTTACCTTTTGAATCAAAGTAGCAACGAGATCATACTCATGTACATTATTAGAAAAATATAAAAATGTAGTTACAATTTTTTAACATGTTCAAATGATTAAAAGTAATTTAGGAATTAAACAATACATATACTTTAACTGTTACATAAAAATAAAGTAAATAAAATTTTAAATTTAAATACTTTTTTTTTTTTTTTTTATTAATCTGGATATCCAACACGTGATGTGAGCCGACTAATCCCAGGGCAAYCACCTGCTTTGCAGATAGCCCGAAGTCACCGTATTTGAACCTCTGTGGCCACAATATATTTTTATTCCTCCTTGTATTTGAACCTGAGACCTCCTGGTACTTTTGACATTTGGAGCCAAGTTCAAACCAATCAGGCACCACCCTTGTGGTTATTTAAATACTCTTTAGTTTTAGAGTAAACTACAAATTTTGTCCCTTTGGTTTGTGAAAAACTTCTAAAGATCGTTAAGAAATCTTGTTAAATGAAAAAATTCTCGTTCTTTATTGATTTTTTAGTCTTTTACCATCCTAACAAAAACCACATAAACAAAAATCATTAAATCGATTTTGATTAGATAAAGTCACAAAAACCTCCTTCATTTAATGAAATCTTTAGCGGTCGTTAGAGAGAGAGAGAGATCAAATCCAGACATTTTTTTGTAAATCACAATGATCATCTTATAATTTCGATATTGAAAGAACGAAAAGTGTTACTTTTGACGAACCATAGGAACTAAACTTAGGGGATGTTTGGTCCACATAATTGAATTTGATGGAATTGGAATCCATCAAAAGAATATGAATTTGAAGAAATTGGAATGAATTTTGAAATAAAACAGTCATTTTCAAAATTTGGAGTCATTTCTTCCCCCATATTTCAAAAATGTCATTATGTCCGCAGATTGAGGAGATGTCAGTTGTGGACCTGATGACATTTTTAAAATGTGAGAAGATAACTGCTTAAAAGATGAATCCAAAGTCTGAAAATGACGATTTCTATTGATTTTCTCTTGGAATAATATTTTCATCGTTAAAACATGCATAAATTGAAGCAAAGATGACGGTTGAAGTCTTGAAAATGCCATTACGACCATCCTGGCGTAACTTGTTTGAAACGATGTAACAGATGATTAAAAAACTTATAAAACATCGACGTAATTTTCAAAATTTTAACATCTTTATACTGATTTCATAACAGTTTTCAATTTTTTGGATGATTATATAACCATTTTTGGAATTAAGGGGAAATTAGAAATTAATTAAAAATAGAATTGGCATTTATTTATACTATATTATAAAGCATTTGACAAAAACTTTTAAAAAACTATTTATTATGTATGAATTATTGTGTATTAACGCATGTTACTTAAAATTTAAAATTACAAGTAATTGTACGTAAATACAACTTATTAAAGTTTCATTTTTGAATTCGTATAACTAACTGCAGATAAATATAATCAAATACATGATAAACTTCTCATTTTAAATATAAAAAATCTAAAATATAATTAGAATAATTATTGATTCTAACATAATCATTATCTTTATAAAATTTATTGTTAAGTTAAAAACAAATTACTTTCACTGAATCGTAAAAACATTATCTTTTTCAAAACCACATAAACCGTATTATATCAATATAGATATAAAGTAAAAATGAAACATTATCTTTTTCAAAACCACATAAACCGTATTATATTGTACGAGTACCATTCTAGTTATATATATATATAGATATCCAACGGCTACACAAATTCCCGCCTTCTCTTTCATCCATTTTATTTCATTCCTTCTCTCTCCGGCCACCACCATGACCAAGATCGACGTCCTCCGTCGACTATTCCTTCCTTGTTTCACCGCCACCGCCACCGCCACCATTTCCCACCACCCAACAACCACCAAGAAACGTCTCAGCACCTCCCTCAGAGACGACATCAGAACCCAAGTTTCAGATCAACAACAACAAGATCATGATGACTCAGACTCATCATCGCCATTAGTAGTCTCCTCCTACAACCCAAACGCACCACCACGATCCTCCAAAACAATGGTCATCGGCACCATCTTCGGCCACCGCCGCGGCCACGTCTGGTTCGCCGTCCAGCATGACCGTCTCAATACCAGACCTTACCTTCTCCTCGAGCTATCCATCCCAACCCAATCACTCGTTCAAGAAATGCGGTTCGGACTCGTCCGGTTATCCCTCGAATGCCACAGCTCTCCGGAATCTGATCTTGGACCAATCTCTCTTCGTTCAATCCCCATCTGGACCATGTTCTGTAACGGCCGTAAAGTTGGGTTCGCCGTCCGGAAAAGAACCACCGAACCCATCCGTCTGATGCTGAAATCGTTACAATCGACGACGGTGGGTGCCGGCGTTATTCCATCTTCAGGGTTTGACTCCGGCGGCAACAACGGCGCCGAGCTGATATACATGAGGGCTAGCTACGAATGTATTGTGGGTGGACCAGATTCGGAATCTTTTCACCTGATCAACCCAGATGGGTGCCTAGGTCAAGAACTAAGCATCTTCTTGATGAGGTCTCGATGACCAGTTTTTACTTCAAGATTTCCAAAAAATGGCGTCTCAAAAATGATAAATTATTTTTTCAGTAACATTTTTGTGTTTTTTTGGGTTCTGGGGTACTCGAGAATAGTCAAGAAAATCTCCAGTGGCATTGTAGGAGTTAAACGTGTGATTTCTGAAAAAAAATCATGTAAATACTCAAATTTTATTGACAGTTGAACTAACCTCAAAAGTAAATTACGAGTTTCATTGATGTGGTTAGGTGTTTTTAAGGGTTCTTGTCCCTTTTTGAAAGTTTAACGGAACATGTCTTTGTAGTTGTGTTTTTAACAAATTATATGCGCGTAGTTGCATTTTTTTAATGAATTGGATTCTTGTCGTTGCAATTTTTTATTGAGTTCGGTTCTTAAACAACCTGGGTGTATGTGGTTGCATTAATGACCTACCTCGTCAAAAATATAAATGCAGCCACAGATACACGATCTGTTGAATTAAAAAAAATATGAATTGCTAAAAACATATAACCACATGGATGAAACATGTAATTTGCTCTTTTATTTATAATAAACTTATTTCTGACTGATTAGTTTTCTTACGGATTTGGTCTACGTCAATAATGTTGCCCATCTTTTTTCTTGAAAGTATGTAATATTTATATACGACAAATGAAATTCATACACATACATTTGGTAATTGTGGAACCCTTGACAATTAGGAAAGTTAGGTCACTGGATATCGTTAGGCCAAAAATCTTTAGGTTATATAAAAATGTCGTCCAACTTTTCTCCTTTAAGGGGTTGTTTGTTTACCTCTTAATAGTTCCATTAAGAAGCAAACTCTGAATCGTTAAGAGGTGGATCTTGTTTGTCCTCTAAAGGAATAGGTGGACATTTTTCTCATAGTGATCAAATTCAATAGAGTTGGTAGTATCACATCAGATCCCACCCTCGAAAGAGGGTGTGAATGGTCCCTTGAAGTCTCACCGTTCTTGTTTCATGTCTTACCCACTAAAGACGAGAGATGTGAGGATCATGCCAAGATGATTGAGGCACCATGACAACAAAATGGTCCTCTAGAAAGTTTAAGACACATTATTCGGTTGTTGCACAAGCTGTTAAAGTTGCTAGCAACTTTCTGATGATACCAATACTTATCTAAGATGCAGATAACCTTTGCGTTTAACAAAATCAGCAATCAATAAACTAAATATCAAAAGATAAAAAGTACATGTCTGGGAAATGACGAATGGGAAAAACCATACTATAATGAAATTTATATAATGGTAATAAGAACCTTTCCGGTTCGATATAAAGATGAGACATATTTCCAATCCTACTTATGTGACGACATGGAAGATCTTAACTGATCTATAACTCTCATGAATGGTACCACATTGGCGATATGCTATATGTATTGAACGATCTGTATGGAATCCTTTGGTCTAGCAGTATCGTAGTCGTTAATCTTTTAAGAGGTTAAGGTTCAAACCTCATAAAAAATGAGAATGATGTGTGAATTTATTTATACCGAGATTTATAAATATTTTTAAGAATGTGTGAAAAGTTGTTTATGGAATGATGTTGGGATAGCTTTTGAAAAGACAGAGATTAGATTCTTGAGGTTTGGGAAATATGTATATGTATATGTATATGTATATGTATATGTATATGTATATGTATATGTATATGTATATGTGTGTGTGATGAGGGGGGACACATTTGGTCAAAGATTCTAATTCCCTCTTCACTTTTTAAAGTCAAGTCTCTTGTTTTCCCTTTTCAGATTTTCTCCTCATTATCACCTTTTTTTTGTTCTTTTCTCCATCTCAGTATATAAAAACAAAATGTAATGAAAAATTAATGATTTTTTATTTTAGATAACGTAATTTTAAAACTTTTATTTTGATAACTAAGATATAAAGTTTTAAAATATTTAAGTATTCGGGTAACCGGTTGAAACATTAACCGGTTACCATTTTGATGTGACGAGTGGTTTGACTTACCTTTTGAATTTAAAATTGAATAAAGTTTTATACCAAATTGGATAGCACATCATTCGCTATATTAATATGATAACTGGTTAATGTTTTAACCTATTATTTAGATACTTAAATGTTTAAAACTTTATATCTTATGTATCAAAATGTAAGTAGTTATATTTTGAATTTAAAATTAAGAGAATATATAATATACCTTTTGAAGATACTCTGCTAGTCTCATATACTAAAAAGACAAAATTCTAAAAGATTTATTGTATTTTTATATTTTAAATGATTAAATATTTAAAAAAATTAAACAAATAAATTATAAAATTTACTGAAATCAAAAAATTTAATTTGTGAAATTTACTGAAACCGAAAAACTCAACGAATTCTCATATTTTAAACAATTAAGTTCATCAATACACTTATAAAACGAAAGAAATATATGATGTTTTTTACATACAACAACAAATCGATAACAAAATACAACGAATCAGTAGAACAAAAAAACCATTTCTGTTAACCATTTTTATTTTTAGATTCACATTATATAACAGATGTTTGTATGATCACGTGATTGTCATTTGAATCTGAAAAACAGTATCGTTTCCTCTTATGGTATTTGAATAAGAAAAATAAGTAAATAATGAATAATGAAATATCTGGTAGTATATAATCATTCCTTTTTTATTGGTGTACTGTACCTTATTTACTCATATACTGATACAGACGTTAATGAAATAATATATTTCTTTCGTTTTAAAAATGAAAGATTTTATGTTGAAAAATGTCTACAGATTTAACCGTTCAAAATACAGAAGTTTGTTGTAAGGTCGATCACTTTGATCAGCCAAAAAAATGTCCTGGTCACATTGATGTCTTTGAAGACGGTTCTATGTAAGATCGATTGAGATTGCCCATTTGCAACTTTTTACCCAAATATGGCTGTTTGTTTACCTCATAATAGTTCAATTAAAAGACAATATATGAATCGTTAAGAGGTGAATTCTGTTTGGCAAAAAAAAAGTCTGCTTCTTAATGGTTCTAAAACCCTCTGAATGATTTTGTATCATGAGTCTCCCTTAACAATTAAGAGCCCCAATTTCATTATAAACAATTATCAAACAATCATATTTTATTTTGCAATATATCATGAGAGCATCTTAATCATTCTAACCACATAATCATTTTGCACCAAACCATTGAGCAACCGTTAAACATCCCATAATTAAAAACAATTCTCATTTAAATCAGTTAATCATGTTAAAAAGAGTAATTAATAACAAAATTACTCATCCACCCTTTTCCCTCTAAACCAACAACAAAATATATTTTCCAACTAAAAAACAAAAAGTATTACCAAAAAAATATTAATTAATTAAGCCTGGCTTTGGCTAGCTTTCAAGAAACCATCTTTGGAAATCTTGAATCAGGAAATGGTCACCGAGACCTCATCAAGAAGATGCTGAGTTCTTGACCCAAACACCCATCTGGGTTGATCAGGTGAAAAGATTCCGAGTCTGGTCCACCCACAATGCATTCATAGCTAGCCCTCATGTATATCAGTTCGCCACACTTGTCGGCATCGGAGTCAAACCCGAAAGATGGAATAACGCCGGCACCCACCGTCGTCGACTGTATCGATTTCAGCATCAGACGGATGGGTTCGGTGGCCTTTTTCCGGACGGCAAACCCAACTTTCCGGCCGTTAGAGAACATAGTCCAGAGGGGGATTGAACGAAGTGGGATTGATCCAAGATCAGATTCCGGCGAGCTGTGGCATTCGAGGGCTAACCGGACGAGTCCGAACCGCATTTCTTGGACGAGTGATTGGGTTGGGATGGATAGTTCGAGGAGGAGGTAAGGTCTGGTTTTGAGACGGTCATGTTGGACGGCGAACCAGACGTGGCCGCGGCGGTGGCCGAAGATGGTTCCGATGACCATTGTTTTGGAGGATCGTGGTGGTGCGATTGGGTTGTAGGAGGAGAGAACGAAGGGGGATGATGAATCTGAGTCGTCGTCGTGATCTTGTTGGTGATCTGAAAGTGTGTGTTTTTCATGTGTTTGTGTTGATGGGTTGATGATGTCATCGCGGAGGGAGGTGCTGAGGCGTTTCTTGGTGGTGGGGTTGGTGGTACGGTGGTCGGAGATGGTGGCGGTAGGGGTGAAACAAGGGAGGAATACTCGACGGAGGGCGTCGATTTTGGTCATGGTGGTGGAGTTGAAGAGAGAAGGAATGTTTGGGGATGGATGCCACCAGAACAATTAAGATCGATAGTTTGCAGGGGAGTATTTATATCCAACCTCCGTCACCGGAATAAATGTAAACAGATCACACTTTTACTGTGATTTTGAATTTGGAAAGAAAAAAGAATATAATTTTTTGTTTTTAAAAAATCATTTTTATTGATATTCCTTTAAAAAAATATATTCTTTAGTAAATCTTCGATCTAAACACTAAAAATATTTTTAACCACAAGGGTGATGATTGATTGGTTTAAACTTGACTCCAAAGATTAAAAGTATCAGGAGGTTTGAGGTTCAAATCCAAGGAGGAATAAAAATCTCCTTGTGGCCGCGGAGGTTCAACTGCAGTGACTCTGGGCTATATGCAAAGCAGGTGGTCGTCCTGGGATTAGTCGGCTAGCATAGCGGGTTGGATATCCAGGTTAATAAAAAAAAATATAACTAGAAGAGTATTTGCGCAATACAGCGATACATATATCGATTTTAATGTTTTATTTTATTATTTGTCTATGTCGATGTTATAATACGATTGTATGTGTTTTTAAGAAAGTAATAATGATTTTATTTTTTAATAAAATAAAATGTTGGAAAAAAAATATAAATGTTGATATTAAATTAACTATTTAAAATTTCTCATTTTTTTATTATAATTTAAGTTTAATAACGAAATAATTTATTTTTGGTTTAATAATACAACATTTTATAAA